ACTTTTCATTTTTATCATTTTTTTGGTCTCATTCTTCTGTCCTTTTTCTTCAGACAGGGTTTTTCTATGCAGTTCAGTCTGCCCTTGATCTTCCCTTGTAGCCCAGGATGACCTAAAACTCACTACAAACTTTCTCCCTCAGCCTTCGGAGGCCTGGAATGACAGGTGTGCAACAACATCCCTGATTGTGTTTTCCTCTTTAAATTTTCTCCAAAACAAAACTCCTCAAAGTTTTTGATATTCTCAAAGTTCATCAGGTTGGTTATAAAAAACCAAATCAGAAAGTACTGAAAACACCCTGAAGGACTTTCAAAATCCTCACCAACAAATAACATAATATAACATAACAGAGTATAATATAGTATAGCAAAATAACACAAAACAAAATAAAAAAGAAACCACATAACTCTGCTTTAAACATCTGCTTCCAAAGATACAGCAAGAAGTTCTAAGTTATCCATACACCAGCAATATGATCCATTTTCTTTGAAATAAATGTCGGTATCCACTCAAATGCTTGTGTAAGAATGAGTGTGGCAGCTTCCTTTTGAAGTCCCACCCAAAAACATAAAAAATGGCCATCACAAGATGGGTGACAGGTGCATGTGCTTGGTTCAGCCACATAATAGTGGGTGGTTGCAGCACAGAGAGAGACCGGCATGGAAACACTGCTTCAAGGAGACCAACCAAAGAGTATTACAACTGAAAAGGCTCAGCACCATCACCTCTAGGAAAGGGAAACTACCCATCAGGGACACAAAGCCCATGGTCTGATTGGGATGGGAGGAAAGGAAGTGACAGCAGCAGCTAGGAGACAATTTCTCCAGGAGTGATGCACATGTGTCCTTCAGCAGTATGGGGTGATGATGTCACCTCCCCTTGTACTCACCACCTGCTGTCCCCCCTCCCTGGAGGTCAGAGTTTGGAGAACTACAGTATATAGCTGAGTTGAACATCTAAGGATGAATAAATAATCATTCCTAAGCAAGTGAGAGTAAAACTGGCTATGAATCCTCCTCCCCTGGATATATGGGGTTTATAACATGTTTATAACATGAGACCTTTACATTGTTTGGTAAAATTATTATGGGTATTCTGCTTCCTAATGGAACTGAAATGAAACTAACATAAGCCCAAGACAGGAAGTCATCCTAACATTTGACAAATCTTTAACAGAAGACAATGTGTCTTTCATCCTCCGAGACAATGGATCCTTTGGATGGGCATTTGTGTTTGGCAACTAGCCTGACACATCTGAAGCATTTACATGTTTGCTGCATTAAAATTTTCAAAGTGCAGCAAAGTCTAAATGGATACACTGTTTTCTAGCATTTTAACTTGTTGTTTTTAAGGAGGACATAGATTTGTTTCACAACAAAAAGAAAGGTGATATCACAGAGGAAGGCCAAACTGTGGATGCCAGTGCATGACCTCACTTCCTTGGCGATAGGTCCAAACAGAACTCTGAAGGCTCAGGTCACCAGGCACCTCGGTCTGGTGACAGTTGGTCTTTACAGACAGTTGGCTCAAGACAGTGAACATGGAACAGGTTATGGTGCTTTCCCAGGACACGAGACCCCAGCCTCAGGATCCCGCATAGGTAGACAATGTGGAAATGGCTGAAAAAATGGTTCACTCATCCCAGAGCCTTCAGGATGATTGTGGGCAAATGCCAAATGACAAGGGCATTAAAGGACAGGGCTCACTGTCCCCAGCCTTCTGGCACCCAGAGGCAGGAGAGAGACGAGGACAAGTGTCACTAGACTCAGCCACAAGCCACTCAGACTGACTGAGTCCAGCAGAGTAACATTAAGGCCTGACCACCACTGTGAATCCCCCTACACAATTCCTGCACTAAGTCAAGTGTGACTGGGTCTGACATGCCCTGAGGGTAGATCCTCTTGGGCAGGTGCAGGTGCTAGGAGGATGCAAGCCTGGGCCACTGTCAGGTTCCCACCCAAGACCGGGCTGGCGGAGCAGAAGGACAGCACCCCTGTTTAATCCACAGTCTCCAGATTCCTCTTCTGTCTTCCTGGGTCAAAATATGGGACAGAGCTGTCTGTCTTACAGAAATATAATATTATCTGTGTTCACAAAGAAAAACCAGTGTTGTCTCAGAGCCTCAGAGCCTCTGGCTTCCTGCCAGAAGCTGTGCTCTGCCTCAGCAGAGTGGCATATAGGACACCAGTCTAGAGGCGGTCACAAACCTATATGTTCCATGGCCTTGCAGCAGACTCTGGGACCCACAACAGGTGATGGCTCAGGCACAAAGTGTGTGTACAGACAGGAATATAGAGACTCTCAGATGACAGAGAGCATCTTTGGGTCAGTGCTACACTGTACTTAACTGTCAGCATTTGCATGAAACTCTAGCCAGGGTTACTGACCCTGTGATGATCCATGGAAATTTTAAAAATGTTTTCTAAGGAAAGTAGAAAAAGAAACAGTTATGTACAGCTATGTTTCACTGCAGTACACTGACAGCTCTGAACCCAGCAGACAATGTCATGAGGCTGGTGATATGCATATCACCACCTCAATAAGGCCAAAGTTTCTACAAATGCTGGAGGTAAAATATGGAAATACTTTAACAACAAAAACAGTTGAAATAAAATATCCTGAATATGCACTTAATATACCAAATATAAACTAGGCCTGATGGCTCTTGTGTGGAGCCCAGCACTTGAGACACTAAGGAAGGAGAATTGTTTGAGACCACTCTGGGTAATAATGTGACCTCAAAGCCATCCTGAGCTTCATAGCAACATGCTTCCTCAAAAAGATAAATATATCAAATCTAATGAATGTAATAGTGTACTAGTGATGGCCTTGTGATGTTAGTATAACTATCATGTTTATACTGACCTATAGTCTACTAGGAAAACCTAAGATACAGCCCACTTCACAATAAAATATCACACTGTTTATCAAATGGAGTACACTAGTGAGTATTTGTTGTTCATCATTGGTATTTGGTGGTGATGGAGCAGTGCTTGCTGCTGCTCTCCACAGAAAAATCACTATTGCTGCAGTAACAGGAATCTGCATGCATCACTGCAATATGTCCTTAACTCTTTGGGGAAGAGACCCACTAAAGGAAGCACTGCACTAATGAGAATTACTAATTTTAGTCTTTTGAATACTTTAAAAATTGAATTTAGTAGTAGTTGAACTACTTAGCTACAAGAAGATTAAATAATTCCTTTTCTCCTGTAGTCTCCTGAATGTTCTTTAGATCTTATGGTGATTTGTTTTCTCTGCAATGAAATGATGTCCCTATTTGCATTTCTCTATTGTGCAAAAATGCTCAATAGTTCTTCAAGTATTTCTTGGCAATTTGTACATATTCTGAAAAATGTGTGTTCCTTTCACATTCCTATTGGTTTTACATGTTAGCTGTTAGGGAGTAATAGGCAAAATTTCTCTCATTCTGTAGTTTATTCTTTTGGTTTGACTTTTTTGTGGCTTCTATGTTTATGCAGGAGGATTAAAGTCTTACAAAGACCTTTTTGCTTGTTTTGTCACCCTATCTTATTTTCTACACAAAACAGCAGCAATAGCATTAAAAAATGTTTTTAATACCTCTACATTCAGAACACGTAATGTCTGGCTCTTTCATGTTTCACTATGTTTTACTCCAATAGAGGCATATTTGAGACTGCTGCACAATTACCAAAAAAAGTACACTTCCTGAGTAAAGAAAAATCACAATTTGCAGTAGTGATTCTTTTACCCTATCATACATTTTTATTCTTGACCTCAATGTACTTGTTTCCTTAAACTTCAAATGCAGGCATAAAAACAACTGTTTTATACTCTGCTAAACCATCTAGCAATTGCCTCCCAAAGTCAGCTTTAAAGCCATTATCATCCCATCTCATTCTCTCCTGATGCTTGAACTAAAGAAATCATCTTTAGCCTAATCTTTATAGGTAACTCCTTACCAATGCAATTATTTAAATACAAAATGATCAAAAATTGCATAGTTTTTGTTAGTTTTTATAAAATAACAAGGAATATAAAAGTGACAATTCTACTGTATTCAATACAAGAATGAATGGGTTAAATTGACAACTGCCCAAATGATGCTCTTGATGGTCACTGCAAAAACAAGTGTGTTTCCCAAGTGATTCTTGGGGATAACTGCTACATGGCCAACCGATAAAAGGACAACTACTGATGTGCAATTGTGAGTATTAAAAAATGTTGATGCTGGGGAAGAAAAGGAGGAGATCTAAAGCATTAAGCAACATCTGCAGAACTTGAAGATATATTTTGAGACAAGCCACTCTAATTGTGTAGGTCAGACTCAAATTCCTCTTCCACTAATTTAAGCCCACTGAGGTGCTAGGATTACAAGCATGCATCAACAGGACCAGCAAGATTTACTTTCATGGTAAAATGAGAAAGTGCATGTACTCAGGATATATGTCTTATAGATTCAGTATTCTATTATTAGCTGTAATACAAACTCCAAATATTCCCATTAATGCTCAGCAGAAATATGCTGCAGGGAAACTGGCCACATGCTGTAGTGCATAGAGGCTGACAATGTACTTCACAGTGTCTTTTACTTTGTGAAGTATATCAGGTTCTTCAAGTACAAAATAGATACAGTTTTAGTGGTGGTTACATAAGAGGTGAGTAATTTATTTTCCCAAAGATAATTGAGACTTGGGCAAGCTATCTTCACTGGGTTAGAGGTATTTAATGCAATGTTCACTTGTGTCTTCATGACACCACTGTTTTTAACAACATAATTCCTATGCAGATTTTGTATTCAACAACACTGCATTAAACATGTTACAAATTACATGAATGTTAAAATGGAAGTGAAAACCACAGGCCACAGGAAACCAACTGGGACTCGTGGCCCACTGTATGTGTTTAAAGATAATCAGTATACACCACAAACATCATGCACTGGTACTTATAAATAAAGTGATATGCCATTGTATAAATTCACAATTCAGTAAAACAGAACACAATCTGAATCTTAATTTAGCAAATTTACTTTTTACTGTGTTGACAGCTCAAAATTTAGGTTTCCCTTCATGCCATTACTTCAGTATTTTAGGAAAAAACAGTAATAATTACAAAATATATAATGCATTCACAGCATCAAGTAATAAAATAAAGGCATTTGCATGATACATCCAATAACAACATTTTCCCCCAAAACAACTCCATATTTAAGAAAAATTGATTTCAAAGTATGGTTACTCATAAATCATGCCAAATTTTATAATTTCTGGAGATATTGATATATATATTGTGATGTGCTATTGGAGACAAGTTATGATTCTGTCAGTATGGCACAATCAGAAATTCACAGAAGTATGGTTTACATATGGTACATGTGGGGAAACTTTACTAGCAAATAAAGATGTAATATAAACATAACAAGTAAAATTCTGATGGTTAGAAAAACAAAGGTTTACTTAAATGACAAATATTGGCTCCAGTGAGAAACAAAATCAGGCAACATAATTTACATGCTATAATATCCAGTGATGTTAGGAAATCAACAGATGTCTTGTCACAACTTGGAAAACATAACATTCATTAATGTACAAGTTATGTGAAAAGAACACAACTTTGTCAAAAACACATACTCCAAGCCTCTACAAATGTAAACCTTAATGCCAAATGTTGCCTCAACTTCAGAAACATCATTTATGAAAGAGAAAATGAAGCATGTGAATCAAAAGATTAAAACAATGCCATGTTAAAATTACAATTCCCAAAAAAATTAGAGACTAGACTAATATCACTCTGAACAATGAATAATAGTATTGCTCAATTTTATATCATAATGCTACAGAATTAGCATTGGGTTTCTTAGTGTCACTTCTTCAGAGTATCTGTTCATTACATTATGCATTATATTATTTGTTTAAATAAATAGGTTAGAAATTCTTCCAATGTGTGAATCTCTATGCGTATATCTATCCTTTCTGTGTTATGGGGGAAAACGGATCAAAATAAGACAACAAAACAAATTCCTAGAAAATCATGATATGAAAGAGACATATAAGACCACAATATTAGGTGATAAACACTACTTGCTATGCTTTCTCTTGTTATTTTCAATAGAATTGTCTACATCATCAGGGAATATACAAGTAAGCATAACATTATGTAGCTATTTTTATAAAAACGCAACTTTGAAGATGTTGTAGGATGTGAAAGCAGTTAATAATCAAACCTGATGTAGAACCCGTGGTTTCCTGCCAAGACCAGCAAGTCAAGCCAATAATGATCAGAAGGGATGAAGAAGGTCACTACATAGTGCTTACGGGAAAACTCCAAGAGGAAGAGAAAACTATCTTAAATTTACATGCACCAAACTCCAGAGCACACAATTATATAAAACAAGTACTAACAAAAATGAAAAAATCAAATTAGTAGTAACACAATTCTAACAGGAAATCTTAACACACCACTGACACCAATGGACAGATCAACCAGACAGAAAATGAGCAAAGAAATAAAAGAACTGAATCGCACCTGTGAATAAATGGACTTAATAGACATATACAGAGTATTCTACCCAACAACAACAGAATACACATTCTTCTCAGTATTACATGGGTCATTCTCTAAAACAGACCATATGTTAATTAACAGAGCATATTTAAATAAATGCTAAAGGGTTGAAAGTATCCCTTGCATGCTACCAGACCATACCACTATGAAATTAGAAATTAATGATAAAAGATACTGCAAAAATCCCACAAACACATGGAAACAGAATAATACTCTTGAGTAATCAGTGAGTCACAGGGGAAATTAAAGAATAAATTAAACAATACCTACAAACAAATGGAAACACAAATACAATGTACCACAATCTGTGTGATGCAATGAAAGCTGTCCTCTGAGGAAAATTTATTGCATGAGTTCCCACATTAGGAAAACAGAATGAATACAAATAAATAACCTGATGTTATACCTCAAACATCTAGAAAAAGAAGAGCAAGTCAAGCCCAAAGCCAAAAGAAAAGAAGAAATTATAAAAATCAGAGCAGAAATCAATGCAATAGAGACTAAAAAAACAATCCAAAAAATCAATGAATCATAGACCTGGTTCTTTGAAAGAATAAATAAAATTGAAAAGTCCCTAGCCAACCTTATTTAAAAAATGGAAGAAAAAGTTCAAATGCAAGCAATAAGGAATAAAAGAGGTGAAATTACTACAGACCCTATTGAAATACAGAAGATCATCAACAGCTATTTCAAAAACTTCTACTCTCAAAGTTTTATAACACAGAGGAAATAGACAGATTCCTAAAGCATATGAAGTACCACAGCTAGGTCATGAAGATGTAAAATTACTGAATAACCCAAATTCTATTAATGAAACTGAAAACATAATAAAATCATTACCTACAAAGAAGAGCCCAGGCCCAGACGGATTCACTGAAGAATTCTACAAGAAATATAAAGAAGATCTAATGCCAACACTCCACAAACTCTTCAATGAAATGGAAAGGGAAGCAATCCTTCATAAATTGTTCCTAGAAGCAAATATTACTCTAGTATCAAAACCAGAGGAGGACCCAACTGAAAAAGAGAACTAAAGACCAGCCTCCCTAATGAAGAAGGATGCAAAAATCCTCAATAAAATTTTGGCAAATAGGATGCAGCAAATCAACAAGATCATATATCATGATGAAGGAGGATTCATCCCAGGCATGCAGAGATTGTTTAATATATGTAAATCAATAAATGTAATACACCATATCAATAGAGCCAAAAGTTATAATCACATGATCATTACTATAGATGCAGAAAAGGCTTTTGATAGGATCCAACATTCATTTATGATAAGAGCCTTGCAGAAAATTGGAATAGATGGTCCTTACCTCAATATAATTAAGGCTGGCAATGACAAAACAACACCCAGTACCATACTAAAGATCAAAAATTGAAGGCCTTTACTTTAAAATCAGGCACAAGACAAGGATGTCCCTTATCATAGCTCCTATTTAATACACTACTGGAAATACTGGGCAGAGCAATTAGACAAGAGAGAGATAAAAGGCTTAAATATAGGAAAAGAAGAAGTTAAATTATCATTATTTGCAGATAACATGATTCTTTATATAGAAGATCCCCGAAGCTCTATTGAAAGACTCCTAGATATAATAAATTCAGTAATGTAGCTGGATAGAATCAGTACTCAAAAATCAATAGCATTCCTATACACTAACAACAACGTCACAGAGACAGAAATAAGAGAGGCCACACCCTTCACACTAGCAACCAAAAAAATGAAATATTTAGGAATTACTCTCACGAAAGAAGTGAAAGACCTATACAGGGAAAATTATAACACACTGAAAAATGAAATTGAAGATGATCTCAGAAAATGGAAAGATATCCCTTCTCATGGATAGGAAGAATAAATATTGTGAAAATGGCCATTCTCCCAAAACTTTTATATAGATGCAATGCAATCCCAATAAAAATACCATCAACATACCTCATAGAACTTGAGAAATCATCCCTAAAATTCATCTGGGATGAAAAGGATCCTAGAATAGCAAGGACAGTTAGAAGCAGCAAAAGCAATGCAGGAGGTACCACAATCCCTGACTTGAAGTTATACTACAAAGCAACTGTAGTACAATCAACATGGTACTGGAATTGAAACAGAGCCGAAGATCAGTGGAATCGATGAGAAGATACAACCACCACTACAAACACACTCAACTACCTTATCTTTGATAAATGGGCCAAACACGTTCACTGGAAGAATGACATTCTGTTTAATAAATGGTGGTGAAAAACTGGCTCTCCATATGCCTAGAACTAAAATTAGACCCATGCCTATCACCATGTACTAAAATAAAATCTAAATGGATCAAAGATCTAAATATTAAAACAGAAACACTAAATCTATGGGAAGACAAATTGCGTAAAAACCTTGAATACATAGGAGTAGGTAGAGAATTGATGAACAGGACTCAAACCGCATGGGAAATGCTTCCCAGAATCAATAACTGGGATAACCTCTTATAAAAAAGTTTCTGCACATCAAAAGAAATCTCCAGTATAGTGAAAAGAAAACCCACAAACTAGGAAAAAGTCTTAGTGAACTGCCCCTCAGACAGAGGACTTCTGTCTATAACATATAAAGTATTTTAAAAAATGAGACCACCAAAATTCAAAGAACCAATTCAAAAATGAGCATCTGAGATGAATAAACAATTTTGAGATGAAGAAATACAAATGACAAATAAATACATGAAAAATGGTCACCATCAATGGTCATTAGAGAAATGCAAATTAGAACCACACTGAGATTTTATCTCACTCCTGAAAGAATGGCCAAGATCAAGAAAACTACCAACAACACATATTAGAGATGCTGTTGGGAAAAAGGAACTCTTCTGCACTGTTTGTGGGAGTGTAGACTGGTGCAACCATTGTGGAGATCAGTGTGGAGATTTCTCAGAAAGCTGGGACTGGAAGCACCTTTTGACCCAGCTATTCTACTTCTAGGCATATTCACAGAAGAACTGAAAGCATCATTCCACAGTGATATATGTGCACCCATTTTTATAGCAGCACAGTTTGTAATAGGCAGATCTTGGAAACAACCTAAGTGTCCATCAACTGAGTAATGGATAAAAAAGTTATGGTGATTTTATACAATGGAGTACTACTCAGCTATAAAGAATGATCACATTGACATATAAATAAATAGATGCAGATTGAGACCATACTCATAAGTGAAATAAATCAAACTCACATGTATAAATACTGAATATATTCCCTAGTATAACAAATGATAATACATAGAAGAATGTGGTAATCATGATACCCAATCATATTGGTTTGAATCCATATAATGTTTTCACTCATTATTAAGTGCAATGCAATCCTGATAAAAATACCATCAACATAACTCATAGAACTTGAGAAATCATCCCTAAAATTAATCTGGGATGAGAAGAAACCTAGAATAGCAAGGACAGTTAGAAGCAGCAAAAGCAAGGCAGGAGGTACCACAATCCCTGACTTGAAGTTATACTACAAAGCAACTGTAGTACAATCAACATGGTATTAAGTGCAGTGGTTTTACCCTGAGTTTTTCGATTTTAGTATTGGTGATAGTACAAATAGCTATTCTGAAGAAAATAACACATCATAAAAGCTAGTGCTGAATTAATATCATCTTCTTTGGAACTCCCATCAAGCTGTTGTACATGTTAACACTGGTTTTAACATGTTGTAACTTAATATATTTTACTGTATGTGATAGTATAAATAAAAATTTTCACAGACAAAGAGATAATATAGAAATCATTGTCCATTTTCTGTTAACTGGCTCTAAATACTCTGTAATTCTTTCATTCTCTTGAATGGCTTCACAGTGTCTTGATATGATTGATTCTATAGTATACGACATTATACTCAAACAATTCAAGGAAAGAGGCACTATGGTGACTAATATTATGTTAGATTATCTGGTGGTGAAACAAAATGCTTTAATTGTGCAGTTCTGACCTGTGTTGTTCTATGACAATGTCTCTTTTATCTCGATCTCCACCCTTTTAAAAAAAATTATTCTATGTTTTCTTATTTTTTTCAATTAAAATAAAACTAAATTAAAAATAGTGGGATATATTATAGTAACTTTTTGTTTTCCTATTAGCCTGATTTTAATCCCAGTATTGCTCTCCCCATCTTGTTCTGCCTGATTTTACTATATTCTATTTTGTTTGATAGTATCAAGTTTGAGGGTATAGGCAACCACTTTGTAGGCAATAAGATTTACTATGATGCCCATTATGGTTTGACTATTATCTTCTTTTGAAATCCTGTAAGGTCTCCAGTGTAGATTTTATTGGTCTTGTTCTGTACAGTTTTGATCAATTCTATTATACCTGATGATATAGCAACTTTTTTAAAAAAATAGCAAGAGGCACAATGGTAACCATTTTTGATCACCTGATATTCTATTTTTGCATCAAGTACTATGCCCATCCTTATGTTCTAACCAACTCTGTTTTTTTTAACTCACTTGAGGTTTTATTCTCTTCAAAAAAAGTAATAAGAACTATGGGAGTAAAAAAACCCCAAAAGTGTAAATGTAATTGTGAAGAAGAGAGGAAAGGAAGGTAGTCTAAGAGATATAATTGCCTGTTTGAGTGTGTAGGAAGGAAAACCATATTACTGACCTTTGTTGGTTCATTGAATGCAACTGTCTAGAATCTCACTGTAGGAATGTTCACTTTATATGCTTTAATTTTATAATTTGGAAAACTGTTTCTAAGAAGACAATATGTAATCTATTAACTAGTGATTTCTTACTGTATTTTTTTCTTGAAATTCTGTATGATTTGTACCCTTTTGCTGGTTTGTTTTTTATGTTTTTTTTTTCTCTTTAAATAAAAAAAATTAAACCTGGAATTTATATCTTTTATTTTTTTTTTGATACTGGGGATCAAACTGATTACCTAACCCTTGCCAGGCAGGGGCTTAAGCCACTGAGCTAAATCCCCAGCCCCCCAATATATATCTTTCACATCTTATCATCTTCAGAGTAGTTGCCTCTACTCTTGGACTTGATACCAGCAAGCATACCAAATGTGAATAAAATCAGTCAAGGCCAAATAACATTCAAACAAACCTGCTTCCAATCAGATCAGTCATAGTAAGACAATGTAAGTAATAGGGATTCAGTTTTAGTTAATAGGAAATTAAGGACAGTTACCACCATGGTATAACCTGCTATTTTTGGGTTACCTCTCTGTGCCCTCAAATCTAATATGAGTAGACAGACCAGAACAAAATATAATCAAACTAAAAAGAGCAACAGAACTACTGTAGCTTTTAAATCCTGATACACTTTTAACAATGTCCTCTGCCTTCTTTTTTTAGGCAATTCCTCACCTTTCTCCTTCTCAGGATACTATTATTCACTGTTCAGAGTGATATTAGTTTAGTCTCTTATGTTCAGTTTCAGCATACATAAAAATAAAGAGGTCTACTATGAAGAGAATGAGATACATTATGGTAATCATTATCAACTTCCCCAACATCAGTCTTGAAGATCAAAAAAGCCTGCATCATCCTGTAATTATTTGATTAGTTCTATAATGTTCAGTATATATTCAATGCATGTGAAGATGGGAACAACTATTTGGAAGAGAACTAGAGACATTAAGATAGAAAATGAACATCTCAGTGGACTTGCTTTGAAACCTGTTTCCTTAACTTGTTTCCTTATGAACTGTTCTGTTTTGTCAAGTTTAACTTTACCATCTTTAAGATAAAAAACAAGTTTGTAGAACAGATAAGCATATTAATAAGTTTTTTTTTGGATCACTGAGGTAAATTGTTCGCAGTGTCATTATTTGAATATCACTTTGTATGCTTTAATTTTGTAACTTGAACAATTACCTCTAAGATGACAATATGTAATTAATCAACTAGTGATTTCTTATTGTTTATTTTTCAGAAATTCTGTATTATTTCTACACTTTTTGGTTTTTTTCTTTAAATAAAAATTCACCAAAAATATGAGAATTAAGTTTTAAAAACAAATATTAAGTACATAGACACTATCCATACTTGAAAGTGAAAAGCCCATTTCAGTTTAACATGTTTAATTACAAGATGCCATGTTGAAGCACAAAGACACATTAAAAAATCTAAAGAGGTATAAGTGATTAACTGAAACCCATACAAAATGTGTACTTGAGTAGAGCTCCACTTCAGATTTGTCATTTCTGGAAAATTCGTGAAGAAATATTGACATTAAACTTCTGTATTCATTATTTCTTCAGGTCTACTTGGAATTTTTAAAATAAACTTAGATCTAAACTATCTGAAGTGTGGTGCTTTTTCTATGTATTTAACAACAAACATGGATTGCCATATGTTCCACACTGTTAATACATATAGGATCCAGTGAGCTCTTTCAGGTATGTAACAATGATCATGTGTGCTGAGAGAATTCCCATAACACATAGGATTTATCTCTTGTGTGAGTTTCTTCATGTATTTCACTTACAATTTGGATGCTGAAAGTGTCTCCACTTGCTTACATAGCCAGTGATTAATCCCAGTGTGAATTGTTTCATCTGTTTTGCAATGACTGTATGTGGTAAAAGCTTTGCCACATTGTTATATGCATAGGGTTTCTCGACCAGTGTGGAGTCATTGATGTATTTTACAAAATCCATGTGTTGTGAAAGCTTTCCCACATTCTTCACATAAACAGAGTTTCTCAACAGTGTAAATTTTTTCATGTATTGGCCAATGAGCATTTCTGCTGAAACCTTTCCCACATTCCTTACATATATAAGTTTTCTGCACAGTGTGAAGTTTTTCATACATTATGCAATATGTAATTGTGGTCAAAAAATTCTCATGATGCTTATATACACTGGTTTTATCTTGAATATGAACTTTCATGTTGCTTACAATGTCCATGTTGGGTAAAAGCTTTCCCACATTGCTTACATATATAGGGTTTCTCTCCAGTGTGAATTCTTTCATGTTTCTTACAACGTCCAGGTCTGTTAAAAGCTTTCCCACATTGTTTACATATATATGGTTTCTCGCCAGTGTGAATTCTTTCATGTTCCTTACAACGTCCAGGTCTGATAAAAGCTTTCCCACATTGCTTACATATATATGGTTTCTCATCAGTGTGAATTCTTTCATGTTTCTTACAATCTCCCCGTGTGTTAAAAGCTTTCCCACATTCCTTACATACATAGGGTTTCTCTCCAGTGTGAATTCTTTCATGTTTCTTACAATCTCCCCGTGTGTTAAAAGCTTTCCCACATTCCTTACATACATAGGGTTTCTCTCCAGTGTGAATTCTTTCATGGTTCTTACAATTTCCCCGTGTGTTAAAGGCTTTCCCACATTGCTTACATATATATGGTTTCACTCCAGTGTGAATTATTTCATGTGCCTTACAATATCCATGTGTGATAAAAGCTTTCCCACATTGCTTACATACATAGGGTTTCACTCCAGTGTGAATTCTTTCATGTATTTTACAACTTGACTGTGTGGTAAAAGCTTTGCCACACTGCTTACATACATAGGGTTTCTCTCCAGTGTGAATTCTTTCATGTTTCTTACAATGTCCATGTGTGATAAAAGCTTTCCCACATTGCTTACATACATAGGGTTTCTCTCCAGTGTGAATTCTTTCATGTTTCTTACAATCTCCCCGTGTGTTAAAAGCTTTGCCACATTGCTTACATACATAGGGTTTCACTCCAGTGTGAATTCTTTCATGTTGCTTATAATAGTTATGTCGGGTAAAAGCTTTCCCACATTGCTTACATACATATGGTTTCACTCCAGTGTGAATTATTTCATGTGCCTTACACTGTCCATGTGTGATAAAAGCTTTGCCACATTGCTTACATACATAGGGTTTCTCTCCAGTGTGAATTCTTTCATGTTTCTTAAAATATCCCCTTGTGTTAAAAGCTTTCCCACATTCCTTACATACATAGGGTTTCTCTCCAGTGTGAATTCTTTCGTGTTTCTTACAATCTCCCCATGTGTTAAAAGCTTTCCCACATTGCTTACATATATATGGTTTCTCCCCAGTGTGAATTCTTTCATGTTGCTTACAATTTTGATGTCGGGTAAAACCTTTCCCACATTCCTTACATACATAGGGTTTCTCTCCTGTGTGAATTCTTTCATGTTTCTTACAATCTCCCCATGTGTTAAAAGCTTTCCCACATTGCTTACATATATATGGTTTCACTCCAGTGTGAATTCTTTCATGTTGCTTACAATGGTCATGTCGGGTAAAAGCTTTCCCACATTGCTTACATATATATGGTTTCTCACCAGTGTGAATTCTTTCATGTTTCTTAAGATATCCCCATGTGTTAAAAGCCTTCCCACATTTCTTACATACATAAGGTTTCTCTCCAGTGTGAATTCTTTCATGTTGCTTATAATGTCCAGATGTGGTGAACCCTTTCCCACATTGCTGACATACATAGGGTTTCTCTCCACTGCAATATTTTTCATGGATCTGAACATGGTGGTGTGTTTCTGCTTCTTTCACATTCACATTACCTTCTGCAGTACAAGGGAATACTTCGTTACACTGATTCCAAGATGTATGTCCATAGGATTTCCCTAGCTTGTCATTTCTGTAAAAAAAAAAAAAAAATCACATATTGGATTGATAACCATATTACTAAGTTTTTATTGGAGATTTGAACAAAACTGTTTGCAGTCTCGCTGTTTGAATCCCCACTTCATATGTTTCACTTTTGTATTTCATTAACTATTTCTATGAGCAGCATATGTAATCACTGTCTTTAGATTTCTTACTGTTTATTTTCACTTTGAAAGTGGTATCATTTCTACTTATTTTGGTTTTTTTTAGTCTTTTCTTACATTAAATAAAAAAGAAACACTCACAGTGAAATGGGTCTCCGTTTTATGACTGCATTAATGTCAAGTTCTGTTTTTAATGCCTGCTAAGAAATTCTGACCATGAAGTAACAGAATGGCCTTATAAGACATGTTGAAAACAACCATTCCCAAAAGACTGGTACACATTTGGAAATCTTAAAATTTGGTACCTTTTGAAATGCAGAATCTTTATCTTCACTTTGGGCATGGGTACATATGTGTATCACATACAGATCATTCTGATATGTTTCCCCATCACAATCTCCCTTCTGTCCTTAACCTGCAGTTCGCTTTTCCATATGGTCACTCTTACTTTTCTCTATTAACTCTTTCATTTCATTCCACAATTTATATTTTGGTTTCTCATCTAAAAGGTACCCTGTGAACTTTTAGGTTTTATAGCTGAGCTATTTCACCGAATTGATGGGAGAAAGAACCACCTATTTCTTATGGCAAATGACATTATATTATTTATTTTTTGACATTATATAAGACATTTTTTTCTTTTCCATGCTGGGAATGAACAACAGCTATTAGCATAAAATCTATAGCTTTTTAAATGTGTTTAAGAGATTTTCACTGATCATTAAGCCGTGAAGTTTGAACTTGAATTTGCCATTCTGCAAAATCTGATTCTTAGTGTGCTGGATTTACAAGAATGCACAATCACAGAGAGTCCATTAACATTTTCCTTCTCCACAAATCCAGTGATAGATAGCTAAGCTTCTTCAAGGTCTGATCTATGATAACTTGATCTGCTTTGTAAATGAGTAAGCATGTACCAGTATTTTATGTGCATCTTGAATTTTTAAAAATATATCCAGGACAAGTATGAGGGGATCAATTTCTAGAGACAACTGCACACTGATATTCAGAATGAGTGCACTTAACATTCCACCAGCCTTCTAAGAATTTTAGTCAGAATGGCTGATTCTTTAGAGAATGGCTTAGAAACACAAGAACTCCATTTTATTTCAAATTCTATTGCAATCTTAGGAATGTTTAGATGATGAATGTGTTGTATTCACATGTATATATGGGTAGAAAAACTGAAGGGAGAATGTTATAACTCCTTATACATCTTCGGAGAATATTACTGACAATAAATTGAATGGTGCCTCATTTCTTTGGTGGTATTTTTCTGCTGACTCACTAATTACTCAGGAACATTCCTTCTCATTATGAGTGTGAATTACCTTAAGTATCTCCAGTAAATTTTGCATTCTTTTTCAGGTTCCTGGATATTCCCAAGTCCTCCTGAATTGTAGATATAGAAATACCAGCGCTCATTAGAATAATACATACAAATTAATAGATTTTGTTTAGAGTTATGATATAATGTGTCCAGGTCTGAGTTATTTTTAAAAATATATTCACATTGTGTTTAATGAAACAGCACTGATGTGTGACATACAACATTCTGACAGCATGAGTGACAAAAGTGTTTTTTCCTTACCTATTGCAGTCATGTTCCTAAAGGTTTCGCCCATCACATCTCTGTAGAGGTTCTTTTGGGATGGACTCAGCAAAGTCCACTCCTCATGGCTGAAGTTCACAACCACATCCTCAAAGGTCACCACCTCCTAAAGGACGACACATATATTTCTCACACGAAGATTGAGACACCAGGTTTGGGATATCTTAAATTCTCTCCTACAAATCTGAATCAAAAGCAAAGTGTGGTGGTATATATCTATAATGCCAGCACTCAAAAGGCTGAGGCAGGATGGTTTCAGTGAGTTCAGGGCAATTCTAGGCTCCATAGGGTATTCAAATCCAGCTGATATACATATAGAAAGCTTCTCTCAATAAAACAAAACAAAACTAAACAAATACAACCAAACAAAACTGCTGAATGAAGACTGCTGTCTTCAAATTTAAATCCATGTCTTGGTTATTAATTTTGTATATATACACATTTTTGAAGACAGCAAATTTGATGATAGATTGCAACTCACTGCTATTGTAAGAGTGAAATTGGAGCACTGATTCTTGTGCTGAGTCACTGCAATATTCCCTGTGTACTGTCTCTAATGCAGAGCTCACAGTGAGAAGCCTGCAGGACCAGCATCCACAAAGCACAGAGACAGATAAATATCCCATCAATCAACTGGGAAGCCAAGCAAGCACCTCCCTTCCCTGGTAAGTGGTGGCAATGTGGCAGAATGTGGCCCTTCCAGGGGAGAACCAGCAGCAGCTCCTGAGATCCATGCAATGTGGGAACTTAGGAAGCTGTGAAACCAAACAACCGGCCTGTCTTCCTACTAAGCAATAGTGAACCTACTGACGCACGGCCTAGAATCAAACATCCCACTTCCCTACCCCTCTTCTCCTGTCACCCCCCATTAGCAAATGGGGAACAGAAATCTGAGTGTCTCCTGGGAAGCAGACCATAACAAATAATGGGAAATTCCTTCTACTATCTCTTTGAAGTCAAATATTTTTATTACTGTTTTACTCTATTCTGATTAATGGTATTGCTCTATTCAAAATTGTTTTGATAAGTACTATAATGTTCTGTATTTTATCTCATTTTGATATATGTGTTTGAAAGAACAACTATTATAAAGATAATAAAATATACTGTGATACCTATTATTGTTATCGCAGTAACCTGTTGTGAAGTTGTGTACCAATTTCACTGTATGATCTTAGTTGGCCTTATTCTGCATTTTTCTGTTTTCTTTTACCACTTTCAAAATTTGAAAAAAGGAAAAAAAATCTCATCAATCACGTTGATAGGCTGCAGATAATGTCTCTTCAAATCTCATTTAGGCCAGTGAGTACTTTGTTCTTAATATACTTCAGCAGCATTTTGAAACATGAATTTGGTTTCATAGAACAAAACATAAATAATCTCCAATATGGTACACAAATAATAACTCAAATGTTAGTGGAAAATGCTGTTTTTAAAAAATAAGTATATAAAATGGAACCAGGCCCAAGCTGTAATATATAGCTCACTGTCACCAAGCGATCACTTTCAATTCAGATATAAGGAATATATCTTGAGAGGCTGATGAAGGACTTCTTCCTTGAATTTGGGACTATCCTAAGTTACAGAGCTGTCTAAAGTAGAGAAACCCCACAGACAAAGACTGAGACACCCCACAGACAAAGTGAAACTTGAAAAGAGACTGCATAAGACACCTTTAGTTTGTTTTTAAAAATTATAGCCATACAATATGGAAAAATTCCAACAATATTCAACACTTTATGAGAAACAATATGGATATCTTCCATACAACAAAGAGAAAGTTGGGTATTTAGCTCAGTGGCATGAACACCTGCCTGGAAAGCATAGGTCATGAGTTTGATCCTTGGTACAAAAAAAAATGCACATTTTACCTTCATGACACTGGGGGCATAATTAGAGATAATCCAAATTAGATCTCAAGTATGGAACACAAAATTCATGGGTTGACAAGGATGTGAAATACTGATTGTTGCCAGAGCTGGTGTTGATCACCTCCAGGAAGCAATCAGAACCCAACTTTAACTTTACACTTACTCTAAGAACTACCTGAATTTCAGTGAAGACCCTCTCTGTTGTATGTCCTGCTATTGGATTCCTGAATTCTGTCAGTCACTTGCACATCCTTTCCACACTCCTCTGATCCATCCTCAGCAGGAAACCTGTCATGCCTAACTATTGATATCACTGCAAAATTTCTGTTTAGAGCTTCTTCTTTACACCATTTCATAAATTCCATTGCAGAGCATTTCCATATTTAAACTGTCTATGAACAACCAAGACACTAAATCAGCTCTTAATTCAGAGATGACACACCTATTCCTTTCCATTCAGAAGGATATCACGTGTATATGTGCATGCAAATGCCTGAATTTCAGTATTTTTTGAAGAGAATTTAACAGGTAGCCCTTTCTGGAATTCATCCTTCACAAATTTTTACCCTGTCCTTGATAACACTTTCATATTTGCTTCATTTTTCTCAGACTTCAAAACTCTATGGCTGTGCTCACAAACCTAGTCTGTGAGCAAGGGTGCCACCTAAATAATTAAGTATGTTCAGAAATTATTTTGCACTGATCTGTATAATACACAGGAGTTCATGAGTTGTTTGGGAAGCGTTTTTCCACTGAGGCACACTACTACACATCTCTGAATTCTCAGGACATTTGCGACTACCTGTCATGAGGATGGAAATATGAGAACATACTATAAATTGAGGAGATCACTATAAATACAAAAAAGCCCAAGTTTAAGTTGAACCATTGTTGCAATGAGGCCCTGCATTACAGACATTAATAAACTTTGGACATTCCAGATCTTCTACTCTGAGAATAGAGAGCAGAGACCTAGCTCATTACTGCTCTACAAGCTATAAGAAGCATCATAGTCAGGGTCTTCTCAAGCTTCTTCCAATGCCTAAGTTTGTGGAGTTTCTAGGCCAGCAGTGAATTCCAAAGATGATACTTGATTCTGCTGCTGTAATAATGAAGCTAGAGTTCTGGGGACACCAAATCACCCTTGCCAACAGCAAGAGGCAAAAGGGAGAGTGAATGACCCATGGGCAATGCTGGAGGACATCAGGAGCTGAAGCTAACTAAATACCTGGGGCTCCAGACACAGGAATTACTTCTACATACTTGTAACTGGTTTCACCGAATCCACCCTAACTCTGGGCTCCCATCCACAACCTCACCATTTCATGGCTCCAGGATTCCTCAGGTTTTTGCAAATCAGGCCACAGGACATCGAAAGTACTAAATGAGATGCAGCAAGCATTTTGCTACCAGTATCGGACTCAGAAAAGGTAAATCATGCTGAGACACCAGAAGAGACAAAAGTCACAGCTAGCAATGGCCTGAAAACTGGACAGCTCACATAGCCTGCCCCTTCATCACTGATTGAATCCTGCTCTACTGCTCTCCTTCTGAGTCAAGAATCAACAGGGAAAGAAACCCCTCCCTGCAAGAGAGGATCTCAAATGATAGACTGTAGTGCAGAGACTTCTGGAGCTGCCATTCTTCTACAGTGGTGATCTCAGCTTGACCAGAGGAGTGTTTGTACTGAAGAGCTTTACCTCAGGCTTTTAATTTTCAAATCCATTCTATTTCAGTGAAAAAAGAACACATCAACTAAAATTAAATTTAAAAACATGTCAATCAGGGGGCAACACTGGAATATACACTGCACACTGTAATCCCCAGATCATTCATCCACAGCACAAGACATCTGTAATCAATTATCCAAAGAGTACTGTTACAGGCACCTGAGTTATTTAAATAGTATTGGCATAAGGCAGGGCTAGGTCCTCCAAGGAGTCCATGCAGGAGACCAGATACTGTATAACTATGGGGAAGACTGACACCTCATGCTATGGGCCAAGTCTCAAGACAAATGATAATCAAATTCATCCATATCATAAAGACTGATATTCTAAATAGTCCCATAGCACTCTGAGGAGGTCAGGAGTCACCATTCAAAGAAAAGTATCGTAAGGACTGACATTTTAAATATTTCCTATAATCCTGATGAACTCAGGAGTCACCCTCCCAAAAACCTAAGGGAAAAGTCAGTGCTGCCTAAGAATGCCTGCTTTCTATGTGACTCCCTTTCCCCCTTTTTCCCAATTTAATCAACTTTACATGAACTTATAATCTTATTGGCTACCATAGCTCTGTCCCGTATTATGCCCATCTGGATTATAAGTTCCAATTTTTCCCCACCTTAAACTCATCTCACCACATGATTTTACTCTATAAAGGTCCCTGGAAGGACAGTGTTTGGCATCCCGCTCAGGACCCCTTCTCTCTCTCAGGTAGCTTTCTTTCTCTCAATAAGTATATTGTGCTCTTAATTTCTGTTGTTCCTAAAATTCATTCTTTGACTTTAGAGAACACAAACTCATACCAGACATATTAGACCAGGAGATTGATTACTCTATAGGAATATCAGTATAAATTTTTCTCTTTCCTGAAGTCAGATAAATCAGTAGTAGTTTGTATTCTACAATGTTGATCTCACCTTTCCAGGGATGCTTGCACTGAAGGGTTTTATCACTGACTTTAAGTGCTACTTTTGTTTTCTGAAAGTGAAATGATCTGTCATTTTGGTTATGGTATCTACAATGCATTAAGGAAATGACTAACAGTATTTCTTATGAATGGTTTACTACCAGCCATAGAGGAAGACAGGTGGCAAAACTTCATTGTTTTGATTTCTTCCTTGAAACTGAAGGTTGTACTTGAAAGTGTTTTGCCCTAGAAACAATTACAGAACCTCATGGTGGTAGTTCAAGGTGGAAGAAGGCAAAATCAGGGATGCTTACTCATATGGCCACTTCCTCTTTTTTCCTTGATTACAACTTCCTCTTTCTTTCCCAGGTCCCTAAAGAAAATTCCCATCAGCTCCTTGCATCACATCAATGTCCCCTCCAAGCACCACATCCACTCAAAAGTCACATATACCTCTGTTGTACTCTAGAGAAATAGCTTCGTTATTTTTGTATCATAGTAATACCTGTAACTTGGCCTTTCTGTATATGTGTTTTTCCCTTCCCCCTCTGGATGACCTAATTAATATGTTAATCAATGCTCTCCTGTGTAAAGAATTGTA